TCCGGAAAAAATTAACTGATTTTTTTAACGTATTTCCTTTAATTTTTAACGATAGAGTGTTTCTTCCAAAACGATTTATAGAGGTTTTTAATAGCTACAAGGATCTGTAAATTAAATCTTTTTGGAACCCTTGGTTTTTAAATGGGGTGAGTTTAAAGGGCTCGAAAAAGATGGTGCTTGATCGTAAATCGATGCTTTAAACGGCTATATCTCGCCAAATGTTCATTGTACAACAAATCTAAATAAAGGATAATTTTAGTCATTAAAAAAGCTACAATTTGGTAATTTTTATTTTTTTCATATATTCAGTATTTTCGGGCATATTTAAAAAAAGAAGGGTAAAAAATATGAAATTGTAAATCGTTTCTCGCTTTAAGCTGTACTTTTTCTAAAACTAAGCATTTTAAATGGGTCAAAGTTCTTGGACGTATTAACAATACATCTACAAAGGGAATTGCAGAAGGGTGAAGATCGATTTTAATTATGGGGGTGGTTAGGGTGTTGTTTTCCTCGATTTTTTCGTAAAAAATGAGGTATTGACCTTATTTTTTTATGATAGGTCTATTTATGCTCTTTAAAAAAGGTTTTGTGAGTTTTCTTCCAAAAATGCATCATTTTCCCGATATTTGACTTTGAATCTTTCAAATTTGGCATTTGAAGAAAACCGCTGAACATTGATATTGTATTTGTAATTGTATTTGTCTTTTTAAAAGCTACAGATTTGTTCTCTACAACTTTTTTGATAAAATGCACCATTTTCGAGTTATTCGCGAAAAATCAATTAAAAACGTGGATTTTTTCGTCTAAAAGTTGTTACTTTCAATCGCGAATAACTTGAAAAATATCATTTTATAAAAAAAATGTATAGCACATTTTTTGTTTAGAATCACTTTTCTAATCGAAACCTGTAGTTAAAACGTAAAAATAATTTTCACCCCGGAGATGGGGTGGCAACCACCCCCTAGGCTTTGGCGCACTTTGGTTCGATATAGATTTTGATCCTTAGGCTATTACCTACCTTCTGTTAAATTTCAAGTCAATCCACGCCGCACGAAAAAATTGCGAGGTGAAATGCTACATTTCCTGGACTATAACTGGTTTGACAGCATAATAAAATCGTAGATTTATGTGTAGCTTTCAATTTTTATGAGTTCAGAATCCAGCAGCCCGTGAAGTATGGGATTTTTTATAATATAATTATTTGACAATCTTTTGTTGGCCAACCAGCTACAGCAGAATTGAGCCGAAATACATTATATTCCTATGTTCCGAATTTATTTCGTTCAATCTATATATATATATATATATATATATATATATATATATATATATATATATATATATATATATATATATATATAGCCCAATAAGTTTTTCGATAGGATACACACGTGCTGTAGTATTAAATTTAACCAACTTAAACGTATTTACCAAAGAATTTCAATTTTTTGAATAGACCAGATTTACATCATGAATTTGTATAGACCGTTAATAGGTAGGTTTACCTTAACGCTTGTTAGTTGGCATTGAAAAATATTATTTTATTTATTCATTGGTTTTCTATTTTATAACGTTAAAAAATATTATACAAAAATATTATTTAAAATCAATCAATGTTTTACAAATACATAATCTACAACAGTGGCGGCTCGTGGCTTGAGAGACAAGGTCGGCAAGGTATTTTTTGTCTCCTCAGATAGGTATACCGTCTAATAAAGACTTCAATCATCATAGGAGATTTTTTGTTTTCTTGTTTTTTGTTTTTTTTTGTTTTTTTTTCTATAAATTTAGAACCTAAACATGTTTATAAATTAACTCTAGTCTACGTTGTTTGGAAGTAGCAAAATGGGTAATAACGTCATCGTAAAATTTATTAGAGTTTTGGAGAGATTTTAAAAGTTTTTTTTCTATTGACATTTGAGACAAGCTTGACATTCTCTCTTGTTTCATGGTATTTCGACAATAAGTTTTGATTCTTTTGAGGCAAGAGAAATCTCGTTCATTTGAGGCAGACGTTGGTGGTAATGAGAGAATTAATGACAATAATTTATTAATTTCGGTAACAGTTTGTTGTAATGAATTGCAGTATATAAAATTATACATATCTTGTAACTTATCCCATCTTCCGAAAATATTTGGATCAGCATATAAAACTTTTAATTCATTTTCTAATTTTATTTTATTAAAGAATGATGGATAATTTTTAATTAACCTGTCTAATAAATATCTTGGAAATTCTTTGGCGTAACTTTTAAATTTTGAATCGTCAAAGAGGTCAAAAATTTGCAAATCTTCAAAATTCGAAAAACGAGTATCTATTTGCATAATAATAGTATCCAAAATTTCAAAATATACTCGTTTTTCGAGATCTGTTTCTGTGTCATGCCTTTGTCTTTTTTTGGGGGTTCGGAAATATCAAGCGAGTCCAAAACGTCACTGCGTATATACTGGAAATTACTATCATTACGAAAATCTCTGAGATTTTGCACCAGTCTTGTTATTCTATTTTTGAAATGAATAATGTCAGTTAACTGATTTTGAACAACATTGAATATCAAATCGGTTTGGGTAAACACTTTCTTAAAAATATTTAAAAGTATGTTAAAAGAGTAATCATTTAATAAAGTTTTCAAACCGATTGCTTCACGGATCGAGATATCATCACTTTCAAAATCGTCACATTCAATAATAAAATCAAAAACTTCCAAAAGCTGTTCACGAAAATCTGCTATAGTGAAAACTAACCGAGATTTAAAATTCCATCGCGTCTGACAAACTGTTGGCATTTTTTTCGAAACAAACCGTTCTAAAGCATTAGTCCGTTTAGGCGAGCTTGAGAAAAATGAAGCAAATCCGCTTAAACTGGCAAAAAAAAGACGACATTCTTTAATTTTTTTACATGTATCTTGCAAAACTAAATTCATTCTATGCGCATGACAATGAGTAAATAAAGCTTGCGGTGCAATAGTTTTAACTTTTGCCTAGAGACCATTTTAGTGTACACCTACATTGGAACCGTATTTCTCCCGATCCGATATCTGGCGACGTCGGCCGACGTCGGATTAAAAACAAACTCAAGGTATTAAATCAGAGTGCCTATACTGCTTCGTCACGGAAGCAGTATAGGCACTATGATTTAATACCTTGAGTTTGTTTTCAATCCGACGTTGGCCGACGTCGCCCGATATCGGATCGGGAGAAATACGGTTCCAATGTAGGTGTACACTAATTCACCAGACATCACGGCAGCGCCGTCATAAGTTTGCCCTACCAATTTATTTTTGATATCAAAAAATTTTAATCTGTCCTTTAAAACACCAAAAATATGTTCTGCCTTACGGCTTTTACTCACGTCTGTAAAACCTAAAAACCTCTCATAGATATTACCACGTAACGCGTATCGAACAACAATTGATAATTGTGAATGACATGATATGTCGGTAGTTTCATCTACTTCTAGTGAAAAGCAAATGGTTTCCTGAATCTCAGATTCAATAACGTTACTCAAAATGTAACTAATTGATTCTATTAATTCATTCTGGATTGTTTTAGATACACCGCTAAATGTCTTCGAATCAGAAAGTAAATTAGAAAATTCCAAATCGTATTTCTTAAACATTTTTATTAGTTCTCTATAATTACCTTGATTTAACGAATGCTCCGATTCATCGTGTCCCCTAAAAGATAATTCCTGACAACTTAAAAAAATTACAATATCAATTAAACGACGTAAAACTGCGTGATTATTTTTTACAATTTCGTTATGTTTAATAGCATTTTCACGTTGGGCATTATCTAATGAAACATAGATATTTTGTTTTCCAAATAAATCTAATTTAATCTGGCTGTAAGTATGATCTTTCGAAATATCATGTTTATGTAAAGCCCTAAATAATTCCTTTAAATTATCGTAACCAGATTCACACCACGGATTTTGATGTTTGCCCTATTTGTCGAAAATAAAATGCAAGGCCAACAGAAAAGTTTGTTTTTTATTTCACTCCCGGTAAGCCATGAGTACTTGCTGTACCAATTATCTGAAAATGATCTATTACTTCCCTTACCCGCACTAATATTTATAAGCCGGGACATTTTAGGCAAAGGACGCCCCTTATTTTTAATAACAATTTGTTCTTCGTATGGAATAGATGAAAACCCATTATGCAAAATATAATTTACAATATCAGACTTATCAATACTTACAGTTTCTCCCATGGCTTGCATTTTTTAGGTTAATTTACCTGAATTTGTTTACACTTTAATTAAAAAAAAACTTCTAATATGTCAAAAAACCCTTTAACCTTTAACTATTTACGGCAGACGTAACGTATCACAGTATTACTTTAGAAAATAAAAATAAATCACAAAAAGAAAGACTAGTTCGTGCACTGAATATCACTTCACAGGAACGTAGATTCCTTGTGGACTTCACTTTACTACATATATGAAATAACATTTCGTCCCACGCTCGCAATGTACAGTTCGCGACCAATCACCAATCCAAATGAAACATCGGCAAATTTAAATTCGCCGTACTTGGTAATTAAGTTCATATGGAAAGAAATGTATATTTGGTTGCTAATCAACCAATATTCCGTTGATTTTTACAAGTAAAGTCAAGGTTGGGATCGGCTAGCCGAAAAAACAAAACGTGCCTTTTTAAGAATTCATAGGCGGATGAATGTCTCCGATATCGAATAATCTATTTGAAAAGTGTCTACGCAGGGATCACTTAACGCTCAGATTGGACGAATTCTTTTAAAAACCATGAATAAAATTTAGTCTTTATTATCTCACAGATATTTTTTTAGTTCACAAAAACAAATGACATCAACTGATTACCTGCCACAATTATTTATTGAAATACTGATTAAATTAAATATTAAAAAAGTCTATAATATCTATAAAGATGTGGGTCGGCACTGCCGACCCTGACCGACCGCCACTGATCTACAACATTAAAAATATCCATAAGATTTAACTAAAAATGTGTTTTTCAGAGCTCTCCTATTTGGTATGGAGGTATCTCTATGGTTGCTGCTTCAAAATATAGGATATTTGATCATGTTAGCTGTAATGATATATAACGCATGGTTTCTGGTTTCTGCAGTTATTGGAGGAGCATTAGGTTATTTTATTTTTGGACAAATGTTTATGAAAATTAATTTGCAGAACTGTCATATAATGCGAAGTGCATATTGCGGTCAAATTTGCGGAGAACTTCCAGGTAAACTTCATTATTTTAAAATGATAAGGTTTATTGTTAATTATATTACTTTATATAAAGTTAACAAAATAATGATAAAAATAACCTAAAATTAAAATAAATCCCACCTAAAAAGTATCTACGTTAAACATGCCACAAAAAATACTTGTACGCTTCCTCGCACGCTTACTTTATTATACGCGCATAAAAATACCAAACAAAAATAAAATTAGTCATCCAAAATCACGTGTCGTAAGTGGTCAAAAGTAGCCGAAAACGTAGAAAACTTCTTGTTTGTTCTTGTTTGGTCTTGTTTGTTTTTCAAAAACAACAAAAAAAAAAATGTTTTTATAGTCGAATGTCCGTCTCACGTCAATCAACTGTCTGTCAGACGGATTCTGTCTCCGGCTTCGATATACCATGTAGCTTCTCCATTTTCAAAAAAATTTAAAGTGTATGTTTGTCTTTGTAGTGTATTGTTGCCCCTGAGGATGATCTATTGATCGAAAGTACTTGGGCAAGATTTAATTAATTACTGTGTTCGATATTTGCCTTGTATACCATCAAAGTAAATTTAATATTGGCATTCACGTACCAAAAAAAGATAAATGTGTACAATGTGAAAATTTTAAGAACACGCTAGAAACTGATCGAAGTGAGGAGCAGAGTTTAAAATTTAAGAAACATGAAGTGGAAGTGCAATTTTCAAAAAGTATTCACCTCACTGCTCAGGAAAATGCTAAATCATGTGAATCATTCATTTGCGCAAGTTTTGACTTACAGAAAATCCTTAATACTCCGCATGGAAACAGTATTCTCCTTTACTATTCTCGTAAGTATTCCATGTTTAATGAAATATTTTACGAAAATGGAACAAGGCGAGGGTATTGTTTTTTATGGGGCGAAAAAGATGGTAAAAGAGAAGCAAATAAAATTTGTACCATATTACTGAAATATCTGAAAATTGTGGATGAAAGGTGTACTGTTAAGGAGGTTAAATTATTCTGTGACTCCTGTCCAGTACAAAATAAGAATCGCCAAATTTTAGCTGCTATTTTATGGTTTCTGGAAACATCTGCTGCTGTAGAAAGAGTTTCCATTGAATATCTTGAGCCAGGTCATACTTACATGCCTGTTGATTCAGTACATGCCACAATTGAGTCAAACCTAAAAATACAATAATTTGGGCTCCTTCAGAATGGCCAACGGTTATTGTTAATGCACGTACTCAACCACAGCCCTACAAGGTAGAGGTATTGGATTATACCGACTTCCAAGATTTTAAAGCTCTGGAAGAAGCTATTTTCCCCGTATTAAAGAAGGATAGTAACGAAAATAACATAAAATTGTCTGAATTGAAGAAAATAACTTTTGAAAAAAAAATGCTTCCACGGTGATAGGAAAAGCATCATTAGATCCGGAAAGTGAGCAAATAAGAATTAGTGTAAAAGGGCACAAGACAAGGCCATCAACCATTCCTTTATCACTTTCATTGGCACCGCTATACAACTAAGAATTGAAATTGTCATCTAAAAAATACGAGGATCTAATGAGCTTAATTAAAAATAATGTTATTCCAAATCGGTACCACGAAGAATACATCCAAATAAGATCAGATACTTCGGAGCCGGATGAACTTGCTGAAACTGATGAGGAAGATTAATTATTTTTGTATATTTGAATTGTTTAAGATTAATACATGTAATATAGCACTACCTAAGATTACAGTTATTTATTATTGTATACCTATCAGATCATTTTACAAAAATATCACATTACAATAATAAGTATTACCAAGAAACATAAAGGGGCTTCGGACGTTTACGGCGTAACCCTCATCAATAGTCATACCTAAATATTTAAACAGGCCAGCCAAAAGGCGTAACCCACAAAATATGATATAAAATTCTTTTTTCTTGTTTTTGTAAGCACTAATCTAAATTTTTGTTGTATTGATTTAATTCAGGAGATGAAATGTTACATGTAAATAGTACAAGAAAATTAAAACTAGCTACATAGTAAAAGTAATTAAGTTTTTTTAGCCTCCTGTAAAATTCATAAATTGAGGGTTACGCCCTTTGGCCTTTATACCATCGATATATATATATATATATATATATATATATATATATATATATATATATATATATATATATATATATATATATATATATATATATTTACACTAGCGTCTAGCTGTTGGCAGGTCAGGATAATCCTGACCAATCCAATCGCACTTGAGTATGTGTGTGGCGCGTCATTTAAATTATGTACATATTTGAATGTAACAGTTC